GTTCGGCAGAACCAGGCGGAGTACACATCATCTCTAAATCATCGTCACTTGAATTTTCACCCATTTTTCAATTAATTATATTGAGGTTTTACTTATATACATCTTTTAACTTCTTCAAAATGACATCTGAATTTGAATTAAAACCGCATTTGGCAAACTGATAGCAATAATAATCATTGTACAGTGTTTGATTGTCATGGAAAAGCCGGCAAACGTTTTTTTTCATGGCCTAAGTAGATGTTGCGCGTTTATCATCAACATCTCGATTCAACATGGAAATTTGACATGAAACGATTCATGGCTGCCTTGGGTTATCATATAACCAAGGAATTTTTTTTCTTACTATAATGCAGAATTGAGAAATTCTAAGTTCTGAACATACAGAAGCGATGAGAGAAGTGGAACAATATTGATATATATCAAAAATGCAATGATATATTTCCTAGATTCATATCAAAATTTGACACATGCCAAATTTTTACATAAATAAAGCCAGTCTGATTAGAAACACGCTCCACTCTACTTGATATTCCGATATATTCAACAAATTTTTAGAAAATTTTCGATGCCTAAATTAAAATTGTTAATATATCAATGTAAGTAGTGAAAAAAATTCTATATATACCTCGGCTGAGAAAGCTATTATTTACTTCGCTCGGTAAATAATAGCTCACTTCTAACCCTAGGTATATAATATACTATTATATTATACCTGAGAAATATGCCCTGTCCCATCTACATAATGTAGCACAAAAGACTAATATAGTTTCTAATTAACTGATCACACATTTTTATGATACTTTCCAAAATAATAATAACACCAAAGGAATAAATCACGAATCCCAAAATCCCAAATAACAACTAATCCATCATTTGTTCAAATCTCAGTAATATAAAAAATCATTCTGGGAATCAATTCTTACTTACAGTATCAATGGAGCAATTTTTTCCCGAATACGATGTTATATTGTTTATGCGAATTATGACAGTGTTTTCAGATCATCCGACCGAAACTACGGAATGTTTTGAATTCTTTCATTTTATATAAATTTCAAGGATAAACGTTTACAAATGAATAAATCATATCCCTGCTCCTGATAAAGTTGATGGTACACTTATATGTAGTGCAAGATTTCGACAACAGACATTTCAGTATATTGATTACAGTAATGAAATTCTGAAAGTTACAGAGTGATTCATTTTTTACGACGAGAATTTGGTTATAGTTTGATAACTGAAAGTAGATCTTCGAGAAATATCCGAATATGTTTTCCAGAAAAGGATGCTGCACCTCGAATACCAGCTGCAAAAAATGTTCCGATACGATTAGGGTCAGAGTCATGCTCCGCTGAAAGACAACGAATAAAGGAGAGAATGGAAAAAAGATAATAAATTTGGCATGGAAGGGACTGAACGGTTCACAATCTTTCCATCAAACAAACTGGACGAAATACTTCCACCCATTTTTTTTCTCATCATTTTATCCTTTGGGAACCTAAACTCATTATATGGAATAACTCATTTATAAATCAATGCGCTTTCTGTTTTCTTGTGCTTTTCCGCACAATTGAAATCAGCACAAGAATGCACCATATTAATATTCAGATATATCTCTAAAACACTTTTGAAACATACACAAACGGAACTCAATGAAAAAACAAATTGTTCCTACGCGAGCTGTCAGCTAAGAAAAAGTTAAAACTCAGTGTTGCAAAAACAAGCAGAATGGATCCGATATGACATACATTTTCAATGCCAAATTAACCAAAAAATATTTTTTTTTTGGAATAAAGCCATCAAACAAATGAATATACAACAATAAGATCACTCGAATTCACGAATTGAGCATAAAAATGGACGATAATATCTGCCATGATAACTGTTATATCTAAATATGATTCTGAATAGAATTTAACGAGCTGTATTTTCAAATGGTTTTCGAATGTGCATGAACCTTGATAAAATAAATCAATTATGCATTCATGCCACCCACCAAAAATAAGAAATTCAACGTTACTGGTATATTAGCCATATTGTCATCCAGTCAGCCAGTGTCTGTAGTGTATGCGACAATGTGCTCTTTCTATTTCAATGGTTTCCACAAACTTCGTATTTTCGTCAAAATAATTTCAAAATGAATGTTGAGCCTACTTTTATTGAAGCTGACTCCCGAAAACTTACCAAGAGTCGATTTTGAAATGATCGATGAATTTTACTTGAAAAATTTGCAATACTTTGGTACCGAAATGAAAAATTGAAACGGTAGGTGGTATATTTAGTAGGTCCTTTTATTTATATGACATTCATTTCAGACTTCTCTCGGCCAAGGAGCAGTATGGTGACTGAAAAGAGAAGCAAAAATATGTACAGTGAAATGTAGAATTACTCCAGAATATATCAATCTAAAAATAACCTAAAAAATATTTTTCGGAATGTAAACTAATGACACGGAATATGCAGCAAAATAGGCACCCGCCGAGACCTACCTTTTACAAAAAAAAACGTTCTTCAACTAGATAATTGTAACGGTTGTATTCACACCGAGTTGACAACAATAACAACAAAAATGGCGTCTGTCAAATTGGATCATCAGATCTGTGATTGGATATTAAAAACCAATACACTTGGCAACTCCGCTCTAGACACCATCATTTTTATTCGTAAACAGACACGCCACCAATTTAAATTCTTACTTTTCAAATTGTTCTAGCAGACTCTCTTCACCTTATCATCTGCATTTCACTATGGACATTATCTCGAGACTACAAGTGTGACATCCCCGGAAATTGGATGTAATAGGTCAGCCATTCGTTTCACATGGATGATTTTAAACTTCACGCCCTTGGAGAGAAGGATCTCTATCAATCTTCGAGAGTGGTGGAAGAGTACACTTATGCTTTCGGTATAAAGTTTGTGATAGTCGAATGTGCAACGGTCTATATCAAAAGATGATGTGCAGCCCACAGATGGAAGCATTCTGCATCATCTGTATGCCGGAGAGCATATACTTACCTCGGGGTGGAACACGACACGTACTCAGTTGAGAACTTTCAAATATCAGCATAAACTCTGACTGATTCATCATAAAGAAAGAACAAAGGTGTTGCTGTGAGTATACTTACCGTTGCAATTTTCTCTACTCTTTCTGAGTAGTAAAATCGATTGGGGAGAAGCTCGACGTGAAAATTCGAAAAATGATGTTATATCCAAAATCGTGAATATTACGGTTGTACTTTTTCCGAAAACAAAAAGACTGTGGACTTCTGGAGTGTCTACATGGAAGAATGGTACAGGATGAAGCCTGTGAAGTCATCAGGAGTTCGGATCCCCTTCTCTGCATGGTCTGTATGAAAGAGCAAAGACTGGATCATTCCCCTTTCAAGCAAACACTCGAGCAACTGATGAACTCTGTTCAGTTTTCGTCAAAAAAAGAGGTGATAACAACTCTGTCACCGAGTTGGAACCCGTTCAGCAAAAGGCCTGCATGAAAGCCGTATAGATCACTTCACTGCAGAGGTAACACAAGGATGAGCCATGGCATGGAAGATTTCGGCTCATCAAAGCAGTAGCTTTTCTGAGGTCGAGTGAATTGGAATCGAAAACTGAAGGGTTCATCTTGGCCTGCCTAGATGGTGTCTTTCACACCTTATTCTATCGTAGACGCCTATGAGTATCGAGGTTTCTGACACCAGATGTCGAGTCTTTCATGAAGACCCTGAGACCCAAGTGCACTTCAAAATATCAGGTCTCAGCCTATATCCAGCATAGTTAACCAATCACCCTTCTCCACAATCGTGAAGTGGGTGGTCGGTCATTGGAATCGAGAATCGTGTGCCTTGATTAGGCGTAGCAAGAATGATGTAGAACGGTATTATGACATTCCACCTAAGACTTTGTATAACCATAAAAATCATTTCAACAGAGAGGTCTGGGTAGAGTCTGCGATGTTCAAAGGGAAATCTCGACACAACCTCCGTTTTTTCTCCTCCTTTCGGAGTACATCAGGCTTATCAGGGTGGTGAATGAGTAGTTCTAATGACTTCGCCACCTCTCATTATGTACTACGGTTTCAATATCTCCTGCAGCTTAAACCAACACATATGCTTTGTCGATACTGCAGGAGTGCCAAAGGTGGTGATGAACCACTCTCACTGCGTTATGTCGATGAACATAAGCTGATGTCGCATATGTTGGGTATGCTGACAGCAATTGTTGCGATCACTTCGTTCAGTAACGAAAATCAAACCAAGTTCATCGATCACACGGGCAGCTGCTTTGAATGTTTCGTCCTGTTTTTTCATGGTCACGAGTTATACAGAGAAGAGGATACGAACTCTTGATGACTTTCAGACTACATACAATAAAATTTTCACTAACATCATTATCATAATTTCTTTTTTTGTTCCTATTATTATACTGTGCGTATTGCATTCCAAATTATGAATAAATATTGACGACTATGAACAAAACTATATACTTACTTGTTCAGTTTTGTTGAAATGACAATCAACACCTACCTGATGATATTTCATTGTGGGATCTTTACTAAACAGTTTACAAAACTACAACACGTATTTCACAGCTTTTTTAAACTGTGTACTGATGAAATTATTGCTCAGCGTGTAGTGAACATAATGAACAACCTGTTATATTGTTTACAAATGGTTTTTGTATGATTACATTGAATATTAGGAATGTTGAAAAAGAAATTACATTTTCTATGTTTCTTACCACTTTTATTTGTAACTAACGTTACTGCAGTTTCGTCCTATACGGACATTTTCAAACTTATTTCATTGTATAACGTTAGTAACAAATAAAAGTGGTAAAAAACATAAAACAATTCATTTCAGTATGATTTCCTACCACGTAGTAACAACGGCTACATCCATCAATTTATCATTAGGAATGTATTTTTAATCACCTGCCAGTACCCTGCTCCACTGAAAGTTTTGAGTTTATAAATATACCCCAAAGAATTTTGGAAGAGTAGGAAACCCGATTTGAAACATCTATGTATATTTTATACTTTTGTGAACAGTAACGATGAACAGTAAGTAACGATGCAGAAAAATTTTATGTTAAGAGACTTCAAAAAATTTTTTTTTCGAAAATATCGCTCATGTTAGTTGATAATTGCATAATTACTCACAATCTTTCTTATAACGTTTTTTCCATCCAGTCTTGACAGACAGTATTTGTTTAACTGAAAAATATTATTAGATATAATTCTTTGCGTGCATGCAAAACAATTATGTTGTACAAATTCCATATTTCGATAATAACTCACATTTGCGTGATAGACTGAAAATATTTCGAAGCAAAATATTTGAACTGTAATTTGTTGATAACAACTAGAAGCACGCAATGTTTCATGTATCATTTTCGAATATTTCGAACATGTCAGAAATGATAACAAAAAATGTACTCCTACAAAGTTACAGGGAGCTACTCAAGAATACTGCCGAAAAAAATTGTCCAACAAACCTGAAAAAAAATGGTTATTGATGATATATTTGATAAGTTGAAAAATGTATACTAAAAATCAATACTCGAAAAATATAACTTCTCGGCAAGTTCTCAAGTTACAGATCAAGGTTCCTGTAAATGTCTACCCTTTGTCGACCAGTGTTTGCGTAATTGCATCTTTTAAAGTGAAGTCATTACGTCTCGAATAACTGTTCCACTCTTATAGTAAGCCAGATCTACAGCGTGACTCACGGTCGATGGTAGGTTAGACGTTTCTGGAAAACGCAAAGCATGATTTTTCTGAAAATTTCACTGATCGATAGAACAGGTAAGGAAATGTGAGAGGTGAAATTTTCAGAGAAATCATGCTTTGCGTTTTCCAGAAACGTCTAACCTGCCATCGACCATGAGTCACGCTGTATATGGTACCCTTAATTTGATACATAACATTCAAGATTCAATCAATGAAAAAAAGTTGTGGGACGGCTATTCGACTATGGTAGAGTTGTCGACAGTTGGAGTTTCGAAATAATTCCTGAGAAAATCTCCAACTTCGCT